ACACACACACTCACACACACATTCATACAACACACTACTACACACACACACACACATTCATACAGAACTCTATAACGCACACATTCGGACAACAATCTACACACACACACATTAATATAGCACTCTACTACATATACATTCATACAGCACTCTACAGCACACATATTCATACAGCACTCTACAACACACAAAATCATACAGCACTCTACTACACACACATACAATCAGCACTCTAAAAACACACAAACACATTCATACGGCACCCTAATACACACATATTCATACAGGATTCTACTACACACACATTCACATACAGAACTCCTTGACACACACACATTCATACAGCACTCTACTAAACACGCACATTCATACAGCACTCTACTACACATGTACATTCATATAGCACTCCACTACACAAACATTCATACAGCACTCCACTACACACACATTCATACAGCCCTCTACAACACACACATTCGTACAGCACTCTACTACACACACATTCATGCAGCACTCTACTACACACACATTCATACAGCACTCTACAGCACACATATTCATATAGCACTTTACTACACACACATTCATTCAGCAGTCAACAACCCACGCATTCACACTGCACTTTACAACACACACATTCATACAGCTTTCTACAACACACACATTCATACAGCACTCTACTCCACACGAACATTCATACAGCACTCTACTATACACACATTCATACAGCCCTCTACTAGACATATATTAATTCAGCACTCTACTACACACACATACATTCATACAGTACTCTACCACACACATTCATACAGTGCTCTACTACATCTCTACAAAGATAATTTGAATTTGTAGAGACCAATCAGAGCTTTAGATCACATGCATACACTGATGGGACACATCAGAGACAATGAGGGGTTCAGAGTCTTGCCCAGGGACTCTTCAACTTGTGACTGCTTGTGGAATCAAACCCCTATTGGAGGATGTCTGCTCTAACCACTCAGCCACAGTGCCCCAGTAGCTGTAACTCAGTCAATATTACAGAAATTGGCCTAAGGTTTGGTGGTACTGCCTGAGAGTTACCCTCACCACGTGTTGTGAATGCCAACAGATTGCACAAAATCTTTTGTAGACAACTCTGTTGGTCTGTTAGCAAAATATATTTTGAACATACTTCTATGATTTTTTAGGATATAGTCACTGGGTGTTTGTCTTTAATTGGTTAATTTTTGGAGCCAGCTTCATTGAAGATGACCGGCAGAGCCGATTGAACTAAGGAAAACAAAACAAAAAGGCATCAATTCATCATTTAGGTGTGGTAGTAGCTGAGAGTCGTTACGGTAACAACCCATATGCTATACACATAATCCAATACAGTTTATTACTGTAGCTCCAAGTCATAACAGAAGTCGTCTCAGGGCACTGAACAGAAACATTCACATATATTATAAAAGACTTTCAGTACAGTTCTCTAAGGAAGCAGCATATTATGTTTAATCTTCACTTCATCACAATCTACCATCCTGAGCAAGCACAAAGGAGACAGCGGACAGGAAAAACTCAATTTTAACAGGAAGAAACCTCCAGTAGAACCAGGTTCAGGATGAGTGGCCATCTGCTTCAACCACAGGTTTGAGAGGAACAGGAGGGAGAAACAAACACAGAATGACAGGTCCAGGTGTAGTTTCTATAGGAGGAAAGACTAAAAACATGTTAAGATAGAAATAATTGCAAATACAAACAGGTAGAGTAGAGTAAGTCAAGACAGCAGCAGAGAGAGGAAATATGGTCAATTTGTCCTCCAGTAGTCTAAGCCTATAGCAGCAGAACTAAGGAATAGCTCAGGAAACCCAAAAGCCCAGTCCTAAAACTACACAATGTGTCAGTCTCACAGACAGAAACTAAAAGTTGGTTCCACAAGAGAGGAGCCTGATAACTGAAGGAAATGAACTGCCTCCCATTCTGTTTTTGTAAATTCTAGGAACCACAAGTAAACCTGCAGCCTGAGAGCAAAGTGCTCTGTTAGGAAAATATGGAACATTAAGATCTGTAATATAATAGCCTATACCTCATTGCGTGGAAAGCCTAAAATTTCAGCATTAAACTGTTGGAGTCAACCCTGTTTGTCTGTTAGTAAAATATCTTGTGAACCACTGGACACAGTTTCTTGAAACTTTCAGAAAGTGACCGTTGGGTGTAAATCTGCGGCTGATTAACGTTTGGTGTCCAATCCACACCCACCACAAAAACAGGTCTATAACTCAAGACAGACAGACAGGCAGGCAGGCAGGCAGGCAGGAAGACAGAAAGACAAACAGGCAGACTGACATACAGACAGATGAACCGTGTGCCCCTTGTGGTGTTACCTCAGATGGAGCCGCGGGAGGAGAAAAGCTACAAAATCAGTTTTACAAATCCGAAACAGGAAGGAAACGTTTGGACACCAAGGACTGTACCTCGCTTCCTCCTCAAAGCTCATGCGTTTTCTTGTTCCGACGGAGGAGTTTTGTGGTTTCACGGACCTCCATGTGCTTCTGTCAGCAGCTCAGGTAAGACCTGAAGGAGCTTCGACATTTCTTCTGACTTTTTTAAAATCAGCTCATGAACTGTGTGAACACCGCAAACTTCACGCAGTAAACAACGCAGTTAATTAACCGCGTTGCGCAATGAAAAGCGGAGTCAATCTGACATTTTCAAAGAGCTCGTATTCAAAACATAAAGTCGACATGAGGCTGAAGGAGGTCAGAGCTGTGATAAGTCAGCTATTTAACAACCTGTTGTAGTAAATCTATGATGACGTCACTTTATTAGACTTT